TGGAAGGCGCCTGTATCACCAACACACTTCTAAGAAGCAACTGCACACTTTCGCAATCCTTTCCCTCACCTACAAAATATGAAGACACAGACGACCAATTGAAACTAATTTGATTCACTCAAGGCTCCGCTCTTTTGTTGTGATGTCATTTTAATTAATGTTCGCTGTGATTAGGTGTCGTTTCTGTCTCTTAAAGTTTAAGAGTCTGCTCCTTTCTTCCTAGTATCGAAATAACATGTTCCATGATTGTTTACAACCACCACTAAAAATATTCAGCTCTAACGCCTGTGTGCGTTGACAAGGCATCTCAAAAGGACATATTAAATAAGAACACGATCCTTCCTGTTACCATTACTGTGGTTGGAGCGATGTTTCACAGTTTTGTGTTCTTCTACAATATTTACAGACAGGGCTTTATCACTGGAGTTGTACAGAACGAGTGTGCGTCAGTCCTTGAAAATCATCAGTACTGCTGTTTTTCTATGCATAGTTTAATCAAGAGCACTTAAAAGATGCAAAAAGCTTTCAAAGAAAACAGAATTGAAAGACAGTCGAGTAAGAAGGTTGAAAAAAGCACTCCCCCATCGAGGAATCAACCACCGTCGCCCATGTGACTGGATTTAAAAATAACTGATTCATTTGTGGCCAGTCTCTGGAAGTAGAGCACTGTAGTAAAGGAAACGCGAAAGTGGGAAACTGCAGGCATTCTTCATGAGTGGTGGATTGTGGTCAGCGAGCATCTGCACATCCCTAAGTCTCTTCCATAACCTTACACATTGGGGATGTAGCTCAGTGGTAGAGTACATGCTTTGCATGTATGAGGTCCTGGGTTCAATCCCTGGCATTGCCAAGTGCTTTATATTACTGTGCTCACATCGCAATCTTCTGTTGAGTGAGAACTCTTTGTCTGTGTTTATAGACAGCCAGGTTTACACAATTAAATTTAGACACACTCGAAGTGCTACAGTGTTCTCTCCTGTTTTAAATGTAACTCCAAAACATTTAGTTCTGTTCTTCACACTTGTCATGGCTTTTGCAGAAAACACCCGTTGAATCTCTTGAGAGATCATTCAGTGAGCGAGTCCTCCCTCTGGACTCCACACTAAACTGAAAGCTGCGCGAATTCCTCACTGCGTGTCCTGTACTCTTACAAGCGCTCTCGTGTAGATGTGGAGCACGGTTATAAGGACACTTTGAACTTTTTCCGTTTGAAAAGAAAAATGCAAATGATCATGAAAAGTATTGATCGTATGAAATATCCACGGTACAACTCGAGAAAGAACTGAAGGACTACACAACGACTTTTGATGATTAAAAGTTATTTTAAGAAATACAACCATCCGCACATGGGCTTGGATCCTGAACGCTTAAGTTGAAAGAACAAAAGCGAAGGATATGATCTGTAAACTCTCTTCATTGTCTTAAAGTTTATTAAATAAAACAATATATTACTTTCTTAATAATTTCTTACTGTTAATAGACAATTTATTGAATTTTTGCAAAATCTCATTTACAAACTTTTTTCTGTTAAATTGTTATTCACATACTCGAATGTAGATAAACGTTATTGTCTTCCGGTGTGTGAGCCCATTTCTCAAAAAAAATATTTGTTAGTCTGTCGGGAGGCTGCACAAAGGTGTTTAGAGATAGAACTTCTAGAAGACAGGCTCTCTAAGCTTAACATCAAGGCAGTTTTCTCAACAGAAATGCTCTTTGGCACTTTCAGCTTTACTTTGGGAACATTGCCGAGATCACTTTTTAGCCAATGCACATGATAGGGTGCCGGCAAATACATTTAATATTGGCTGTGTTAGCGAGCTGCTTTTTCCTTTGAAACTTTTACTTCTTCATGCTGAATCATTGGCAGGGGTAAAGCTAATTAAATCTTTTCGCATAGCGCTCCATCAGAAATACTTTCTCCTTGGTCAAAACGGGCACAGAAAGTTTTATAAGGGCAGCCTGTTTTGCACCGTCTAAATAACCGACAGTATGCGAATAAGCTTATTAATAACAGTATTTACAATATAACCCATGTTCAAAAATGCTTTTAGCTTCTTTCAGTCTAAGAAACAGGGGTGTTTTAGCGGATTGTGGTCTTCAATTAGTAAACGCTGAAGTGTTTCCCCGCTCGTGAGCAGATCTGGCTCCATTTAAACAGAATCCTGCTCAGCTCCAGCTTTCACTGCAACTTTTGAATTGAGCCCAAAGCGATAAGCAAGCTGAATTATCAAAGCTCATTAGGTACTAGAGATCACGGTATGTTATCAGGTAAATGCAGTCCCATGTATCCTCCGTAATTTCGAGTAAATACCAAAACACACCATCCGCGACCCACAGCGGGAATAAGCAGGACTTGGTTGCTCAGAGCGTGAGGCAACTATCGCCTGGAGGGGGATTTGATCCTCGCTCTTGCTACTATTTGAAATGCCATCATTAAAGAAGCGTAATAGAGATTTTTGCAGATGTTTTTTATGCTCCACTATACATTACAATCATGAAAACAAATCAATTAGAAATATGCAATACAACGTCGGTTCCCGAAAATAAAATCTGTTTTACACAGACATCATTGCTTTTGAGATAATCCAGATTGTGAAGACAAGTGCGCCCTAGCTTTGGAAAATATTACTCAAACGTTGGAAAGTACAACACGTTTGTACGTTTGACATTTACAACAGGTAACATGGCACTTCTCCAGCAAAGCAACTCAGGTTAGTGAACTACTGGTGTATTCAATACACCTCCATTCATCCATCACCTGTCAGGATGGTTGAGTGTTCTAAAGCACCATTCAAAGCGCTTTACAGGTAATGGGGACTCCCCTCCACCACCACCAACGCACCATGATCAAATACTCATGTTTTTCTAGCTCTCACGGGTATTCTTGTCTCCAGATCGAGGTGTGGGTTCAAATCCCACTCCTACCAGCTACTCTTTTTCCCTGTTAAATTTTTCCCATCTTGATGTGCTCGCTGACATAGACAGGAGAAGGAAAACGAAGAAACCGCTTAGCAGGCACACGATGGGCAGGAAGATTCATGAACTATTAGATGTGATTAGCAGAAAGTCAACTATAAATAGACTTTGTGCATTAAGAACTGTTTGCATTGCCTGTAATCTAGGTAAGATTTACGGTAAGGTATGCATTCAAATGTGAAAGACTACAATAATGTAAAACCAGGAGAAGACTTATTAAAACATACTGTTTTCCTTGCGGTTTCTAATGTATTTTATTAAATGGGGGCTTTGTGAAATCAACTTTTAGCCTCTTGGAATGCAGCCACTCTCCCCGGTCTAAATACCATTATGTAAAATTAGGAAGCAGCAGTATTTTGATAAAGTGCGGTGTTCCTTTATCACAGTAACACAACAGTAAACAGTAAACGCTCAGGTGTTTATACTTACTCGGGAGCAGATCACCCTCAATTTAGAAAAAACCTTTGCTCCTCCCTTGCTTTCACAGCGATATCTGAATCGAGCCCCATAGCGTTAAGAAAGCTAACTTACACACAGCTCATATGACATTGGGAGTCACTGTACCCTATCACGTCCCGCTTGCACTGTCCTACTAAAAGATTAGAGGGATCCGAAAGGACACAAACAACCCATGAATCAACGATTTTGAACTAAAAGGTCGCAAGCTCTACCGACTGCGCCTCTTGTTCCTCTATTACAACAGTAAAACTACTAGCGTTGATTCAACATATAGTAAGTTGACCCTCTCCCCACGGTGGCCAAGTGGTAAGGCGTCGGTCTCGTAAACCGAAGATCGCGGGTCCGAACCCCATCCGTGCCTCTTTCATTCACCGCCACGTTCCTTTATCTAAGTCTACAAGTAACATGGAAACGTCTCTTCTTGTTACTCTTTCTGTGGAAGCGCACAGTTTCCTGTTAAAGCCAAAACGTATTGCGGAAGTCTAATATATGAAATTTGTTAAGAACTTGATTGTCTATTCAAAGAGAAAAACGAGAAAACCTCTTTATCAGAAGTGGGATTGGAACAAAATCCCCAGGGGAAACTGCGACCTGAACGCAACGCCTTAGACCTCCAGCCAACTTGCCTCTGGCGTTTATATTGAATTATATGTTTTATTTCTTTCTACTCGTTGATAAGAAAAAAAGTGAAATCATGTAATTAGGGAAATTTATTTTTTTTCATGTGGAAAACTAGCACAAGCAAATGTAAAGTTCAGAGCAGCACTCAATAAAAACGATCAGAAACCGAAAGCGCTACTTATGCGGATCAGTACATTCCCATACCAGTTGTTCTGCAGAAGAAATAAGAAGAGCCGAACTCAAAGACGTTGTATTGCATATTTCTAATTGGTTTATTTTCCTGATTGCAATGTATTGTGAAGCATAAAAGCCACCTGCATCAATCTCTATTACGCGTCATTTATGGAGGCGTTTCAAATAGCAGCCAGTGCAGTATTAACGCTTTTGGAGCATGTATTACATTGTAAATAGTCTTGTTTAAATAAGTTTAAATTTGCACACTGTTATTTAGACAGCGCAAACCTGTCTGACCTCATACAACTTTCTGTGCCCGCTGAGTAGATCTTAAAGCAGCTGCAGCCAAAGTAGCCGTAATGGCAACACAGTGCTTTCAGTTCGGCTTTTCTTATTTCTTCTGCAGAACCACCGGCATCGGAATATACTGATCCGCATAAGAAGCGCTTTCGGCTTCTGATGGTTTTAATTGAGCGCTGCTCTTAACTTTACATTTGCTCAGGCTAGTTTTCCCCATGAAAAAAATACATTTCCCAAATTACACGATTTCACTTTTTTTCCTATCAACAAGTAGAAATAAATAAAACATATAATGCAATATAAGAGCCACAGACAGGATGCCTGGTGGTCTAAGGCGTTGCATTGAGGTCGCAGTTTCCCCTGGAGACGTTTGTTCAAATCTTACTTCCGACAAAGAGCCTCTCTCATTAGAGTAGAAACGATAGAATCTCTAAGTAGAAAACATTTCCACAACATCTCGCATTTCACGTGTTTAATGTTAATTGTCTTAGTGGTTGTTTCGGTGAATGATGGCTCTCTTTTCTTGCAGGGTGACGGCAAACTTCTTCAGAGAGGGAGTCTCCCACGCACGGCTTTTCTTTATCAGGACCGAAGGTAACAGAGACAGACTTCAAACTCAAATGAATTACTTCTTGA